AATAACTGAAATCTGTCACACCAAGCTGTTCACCTAGTTGTCTGGCTTTTGTAAGCAACATATCATCGTTGATCGCTGCGTGATGTGCTGACATGTCCGTGAACCACAGATAGAGGGCGTCATCTAGTTGCTGATGTTTTGGGTTCCTGGACTTGGTTAGGCCTTCAGAATCAGCTGGAGTAGCTAGCCATTTGTCTTTTTCTTTAATGATGTCACCAATGGTGGACTTTCCAGAAAAAAAATTAAATTTATGAGCAAATTCATATGAATCATAACATCTCTTAAATCAACAATTTAAAATTTGATAGTTTTAGTCTGTGATTTCTTTCCATACCTCTTTATTAAGGTCAGCCTATGGCTTTGGGAAAACTGCAATTAATTAAGTCAAAATTAAATTAGAAAATAAATTAAAAAATTTAGAAATTTAAAGTTTTTTTAAATGACATTAAAATGACAAAGAAATTGAGTCTTTAAAAAATACCTATGGTGATGTTCTCCTCGTCAATAACAAACTGCCTTAAATCTTGCAATGAAGAACGTGGACGATCTACTTTGCGTTGGCAGATTTTTTTCTTTAAGCTGGCGGAAATTCCGACTCGTGCTCTCTTTGCCGGCGGTGTAGACATGGTTGAAGCTGGAGAGCAGAATGACAAACATTGGAAATAACGCTGCTTATATGGGCAAATTTTTAATTACCCAGCTTGTTTTTACTTTCTATTTTCTATAAATTGATGAACATAGCCAAGCGAATTCTCTCATTTGCAGCTTTGATTACACCCAAGCGAGCTGTCAGTATCGAGTCTAATTTTAATTTGAACACTCATCCACGCTAAATCTGACATATTAAAAATTCACGCAGTAATCATCCCAAGCGAAATCATTGTCTAAAATTATTCAAATTTGATTGAATGTTTTAGGGGTTTTTTTCGATGATAACTGCCACCAATCTACAGATGAAAATTACACAATACACGACTTTATCAAACTATGTCGTCCCGTCTATAAATAGAAAAATAATTAAAACCAGCTCTGTACTAAAATTATAAATATCTCGCAGATAACAAATAATTGAATAGAAAATTGTTTTCTGTTACCGACACAGTTAATTGTTTATTTTCATTTGTGTATCGATCTCCCGTATAGCATGCTTAATCTGTGGACTAATCATCGTAAGTCATTCATAACAGGTCACAGGTGGTCGTCTTGTAAAAACAATCAATCCGGCCAGTGTTTTGATAACAATTATCACTCAGTTCAGGCGTGAATGTTGACAAGAGTGGAAGTACAAATTGAAATTTACCGTCCGGATAAATGAACCAAATTATAACGTAAAAATACATTTTGTAGTAAAAAAGAGCCGTCCGGATACGGAACGCGGAATTCCGGATAAATGAGTCAAAATTACGTTAAAAAAATCCGTTCCCGAAAAAATTTTCCAGAAGGTGAAGCGTCCGGATATCTGAAGGTCCACTGTATATGCTTTTAAGAACTCTGGGGGGATCTTACCCCTATCTTAATTAAGATATTCCTAAGATATGTCCTAAGAAGTATCCTATAGTATCTGAAACGTTCTAATTTCCCACCTGAACTGTGAATGAATGATGAAGGAACACAGAGCAAACCTTAAGTGAACAATGTGTGAACACTGAACGCAACTTGGTGAACGATGTGTGAACTGAGAACGGTGAGTGAACGCAGAACGCGAATGGAGCACAAACAGTGAACAAACAGTGAGTGCAAGATGAACGATTTATTCGGAATGCCTCCGATATTTTCTTGCATTGAAACTATTCTGTTGAATTCTAATGCTAGGTGCTATAATATAAAAAAACGTGTAATTCCTTACCATCAAAAAGATAAGTCCTTTCACTTCAGAGTTCCAAATGACAATAAAGACTGAACAGTGAATGACAACGACAGACAACGGACAAATTTTGATCAGAAAAGCTCACTTGAGCCTTTGGCTCAGGTGAGCTAAAAACCCTGATGTAAATAATAGAAATGCTAGAATGAGCCAGCTTTCAATATGCACAGTCTATAGAGCTTCCAGGTATGCAAGATTAGCGAAACATTTTAGCGCAATTTGACGTCATTTTAATTGTGACGTTATTGTTTTCAATTGTGACGGCAGGCAAGGGTACTGTGACGTGCCTGAGTTGACGCTGCATTAAAACGTATGCACAGATCAAGTAGATTGGGCCTCGTTAAAGGAAATATACAAATATTATTATATCAGTTCTGTGTTTATAATATGATTTCACTACAAAGTACAGTGTTTCTGTTAACGCATATTTCTGCATATTTTATGCATAAAAATTACTTTTTACCCACAAAAACGTCACCTAAAGGATCAAAATGATGCAGAAAAAAAATTAAAACAAATTTTAAAAATCCAGTTCAATATTGATGCCTTCATAGAAGAAGATATCTTACATGTTAATTTACATTCTGGAAAACTTTCCAGTGATTTTTCTACATCCAATTTGGGTCCGAATATCGGCCCTTTCTCCTCTCAAAAAATACCGATTTTTTCCCAATTTCTGTTGCTTTTTTTCCCAACACAAAACCGTTGTTTTTGTTATATTGAATTTTTTACGTACGACTTATCTAAAATGGAACGCTTTTGTTCTCAGTCACTTAGACTCTTAAAATAACATGTAGGAACATCACATTACTCTAAGCGTTAACAAGACATAGAAAAAAACATGGGTCTCCTTGTCAAACTTGTGTGTAAATACATCGTTAGAAAGTGTAAGATGCATATTAACCGACGAAACATAGCTTTATTTGTAAATCCAAGTACTAATAGTTCTACAAGAAGCATCCCTGATACCACGAAAATCAAACTGTTTCTACATCCGGCAGATTTAATTAGTATTGCAGAGAAAAACTGCAGCATTATGTTTAGCTAGGGTAATTAGAAAGCTTTAATAATTACTTTGAAAAATACATAATGTAATAAATCATGTTAGATTATTCTATCTTAAACCATGGCTATTAAAAGAAGGATTTTCTGTCTACCAATATTGTCAGAGCAAAAAAAAGGAAATACATGTATACTGATATAGGTTGGTCACATTAACAACTTTCAAAGATTTTAAAAAAGATTAAAAATATAGAACTGTGTTTAATTTATTGTTTTGTAGTAAATATATTGATAAATGATGTTACATTTACTTACATAGTTTATTTTACCTGCCAATTAAGGTTACATGACAATTTTTAAAATATTTCCCAATTTGATACAAATGTTGACAATTTTTCCCAATTGTAAAGGCCCAGGCCCCTTTTAAAAAATGTAGAAAAATCACTGCTTTCTAGGAATTAATCATTGCTTTTAGTTGTCACATTTAAGAAACTGTCTGTACTTATAGCACGCCCCTGTGTATCATCTCAACTGAGAGACATTAAAGAAATGAATTTCAAATTTCAAAGTGGCAGTGATTGAAATCGGCATTTCCATGTCAACAATCTTTTGAATTGTTTTGTATGATCTATCTAATTCTTCCCAAAACCGGAAGTGCAGATAAAAATGGCGCTTCAGCATGTTCAGTCTTACACTGGCATATTTATATCAACTTGGCTTTGTCAAAAAGGCTAATTATGGTAATAAAAAGGTGAGGAAAGTTCAAAACATTAATAAACAGTTTTGTAAAGCAGACAACCACTTTCAATTTTGTTTTCTTTTAATTGAGGTATTCATGAAACCCCAATGGTGTAATCGCTAAAATGTGACTGTGTACTGTGAGGTAAATAAATATTTTTTAAACACCAAATATATGATTTTAGAAGGCAGAGCTAAAATAAGAATTGAAAGCAAAACCAGAATATATTTTGACCCTCAAAAAATCTTTTTGATTCCCAAAAGTTTATATCAAAGGGACCCTTAGTTAAAGAATTTAGAAGAAACACTTAAGTATATGAGAAAGTTAGGTATTGGACATTAGTGATCTCACTTATTTTTTTTTATTCCATAGATGCATGGTTTTTGTGGATGAATTAATAAATTTAATGAATCCAAGAAAATAAATAAAATACCTGTATATTGAATCTAACAGGGTGTTGCATTCGAGTTTTGTAAAATATATAACCAGTTAGTTCGTAAAATAATTCATATGCCTATCCAGTAATATAACCGGTATTAAATAAAGTCCAATTATTAATTTTTGTTCATGATCTCGTAACGCTTGACCAATTATTTACATTAGTAACAAAAATTGGGAATCAGCTGACTCCAAATCAGGTCACACGATTGGACAAAATGGCTGCTAAGGACATCCTTTGAAAATTGATGACCGCTGCCTGTGTTACACAGGTGACCACTTAATATAGTAATTTTATATAGGAAATTTCATTGGGAGGAAATAAAATGACTGCATAGGACAAGCAACTAGTTTGACTGTATTTATTTTAGTGTAGTCTAGTCAAGTTATATTGAAATCATACCAAAACTGTAGGAGGAGTAGTATATTGAAAGTATTTCACAGAAATTTCTATCTTTAGTAACCATGGCAACACCCTTCATCGAAATCAAAAACCGATATACAGAATTATGTATCTTAGTATAGTCTACTTGTGTGCCAAGTTATACTGAAATCAAACCAAAGCTAAAGGAAGAATGGCATTTGAAAGTATTCAACAGAAACTTCTATTTTCAGTAACCATGGCAACACCGTTGATCGAAATCAAAAACTGATATACAAAATTATGTGTCTTAGTCTATCTACTTGTGTGCCAAGTTACATTCCCAAAACTGTAGGAAGAGTGGAATTTTGAAAAATTGTTTACAGACAGACGGACAGATGCTGGATGCATAAGCTCTTCTGGTCTCTGACCAGTAGAGCTAAAAATTATCAACAAGTTACTGTGATAATATAAATAAAAACCAAAAATAATATAATAAAAATATCAAAATACTAGTAACACACTAAACATGCTAAAATGCAAGTGCTTTTGCAAAGGTATGCTCTTCAGGCAGTTGTGAATACTTTTATACTTACTTTGGCACTTTGACTAGGTGAGGTTCCTGAGTTTAATTCCTTCATAAATTCATCATACTCTGCTGGATTTACAGCATACAGCTCTTTCACCCAACTCCCGTAAAGGGCTTTCAGTTTCTGTTTGCTATAAGGGTGTAAATTGTATTAAAATTTCACTAACCATTTATATGAGCTGCAACTACTAGTATTTTGTGTAGATATAGGCCTTTCAACTAATTTTTCAAGTTGCACAATATGGTAAAAAACATTTCATATATAGATTTATATGTACATGAAAGAACTGCGAATGATAGTATTGTTCTCCCGCCTACCTCCAAGTCAATTTTCAAAAGTTAACATATTTTATGAATTTTTAATATTTTTTATAGATAATTACATGGATTTTCATAAAACATTACTTATTTGGAAAAACAAAGAGAGATAACTCTAAAAGTTTGGTAAAACTTGTGTTTTTCACTATGGAAATCAACGGAAAACGGAAAATATTTTTAAAACATCTTTCCCCCCGTGTCACAAAAATTCCTTTTCACAGGTAATATGGAATATTATATCACAAATTCATACCAAAGCTTTTTGTGTGTTACAGGGGGGAACATACGTTTATTGACAAAAAACGATAAAAATGTTTATTTTCCACCAATTTCAAAGCGATTTACAACTGAAACATAATATTTTATTGATATATTCATGTTTTACTTATTTGCCTAAGACAAAAGAAAAGATATAAGGAACATTTAATCATATCCAAGACTATTTCAAAATATGGTGATGCCTGAAACTTTTATTTCAATGGAAAATATCGTCTACCCCCTTTTTTCAAGAGCTGGAATTATGGATAATTTACTGTTTAGCGCTGGTATTAAGACAATTCATCAATTACCATTGAACTGTTCTTTGTATTAAACAAAGATTTTACGGCCAAATTCCTATTCATTTTGAATTAAATGGTTCCAAAATGTAGGCGGGAATCGAGAGTTAGCATGCGTATTTCTTATCAAATAAGATAATAACTTATGCATACCTTTAATTCAATCATTAAAAAGTTTAAATTATTTTTAATTGACTAGTACAACGTTGTGTTTTAAGAAAAGGTTACTCAAGTGTGAAAAATGAGCAACTTAGTGCTGATTTATGAGTTATCATTTATAGGAATGACATGTAGGCTGCTTCAGCATTGGTATTGTTATGTACAAAAAGGGTTCCTAACATTGTTTTGGACAGAGGTGTTGACTAAAAGAAAGATAATATCTTCACTCTACTTGAAATAATGGGTCAAATAAATGGGGAATAGACTAAATTCAAGTTTTTTAACTCTCTTGGGCGATTGTTATGAAGAAGTAAATGTCATCTTTTTGTGTGTGCATTTTTGCTTCCTATACCTTTTTTATTTCTACAAGTAAATGCAACATTTAATAATCTTATTTGTGTTACTAAGCATGAAGAAGAATGGCCGAGTATAAAAATTTAATCAGGTTAGAACTAAAAAGGAGGTAAATTTCATTTCTTATTTTGATTGAAATTTTACTTATATGAAATCAGACGGTGTCCGCAACTATATACTAGTAGTAAATAAATTTAACATTAGTGCTACATTTTAAAACCACTGGATTCTACTGACAGCAAAGAAACACTTGGTATATACTAACCAGAAGTCTCTGTCGAGACTGTAGCTCTACTGGTTTATACTTAAAACAAAGGAAGAGAAAAGTAGCAGTTGGGACTTGAGACTTTAAATCAGCAATAAATAGAAAAATGATCCTTGCCACTCATCAAAATAAAAACCAATGCACAGAATTATGTATCTTAGTATAGTCTACTTGTGTGCCAAGTTATACTGAAATCAGACCAAAACTGTAGGAGGAGTAGCATTTTGAAAGAATTTCACAGAAATTTCTATTTTTAGTAACCATGGCAACATTGTTCATTGAAATCAAAAACCGATGCACAGAATTATGTATCTTAGTGTAGTCTACTTGTATGCCAAGTTATATCAAAATCAGACCAAAACTGTAGGAGGAGTAGCATTTTGAAAGAATTTCACAGAAATTTCTATTTTTAGTAACCACGGCAACACCGTTTATCGAAATCAAAAACCGATGCACAGAATTATGTATCTTAGTGTAGTCTACTTGTGTGCCAAGTTATACTGAAATCGGACCAAATCTGTAGGAGGAGTAGCATTTTGAAAGAATTTCAAAGAAATTTCTATTTTTAGTAACCAAGGCAACACCGTTCATCGAAATCAAAAACCGATGCACAGAATTATGTATCTTAGTGTAGTCTACTTGTGAGCCAAGTTATAATGAAATTGGACCAAAACTGTAGGAGGAGTAGCATTTTGAAAGAATTTCACAGAAATTTCTATTTTTAGTAACCACGGCAACACCGTTTATCGAAATCAAAAACCGATATACAGAATTATGTATCTTAGTGTAGTCTACTTGTGTGCCAAGTTATACTGAAATTGGACCAAATCTGTAGGAGGAGTAGCATTTTGAAACAATTTCACAGAAATTTCTATTTTTAGTAACCACGGCAACACCGTTCATCAAAACCGATGCACAGAAGTTAGTTTATTTAATTAGAATTTATGTATTTTAGTGTAGTCTACTTGTGTGCCAAGTAATATTGAAATTGGACCAAAACTGTAGGAGGAGTAGCATTTTGAAAGAATTTCACAGAAATTTCTATTTTTAGTAACCACGGCAACACCGTTAATCGAAATCAAAAACCGATGCACAGAATTATGTATCTTAGTGTAGTCTACTTTTGTGCCAAGTTATATTGAAATTAGACCAAAACTGTAGGAGGAGTAGCATTTTGAAAGAATTTCACAGAAATTTCTATTTTTAGTTTAACCACGGCAACACCGTTCATCGAAATCAAAAACCGATGCACAAAATTATGTATCTTAGTGTAGTCTACTTGTGTGCCAAGTTATATTGATTTTGACCAAAACTGTAGGAGGAGTAGCATTTTGAAAAATTGTTTACAGACAGTAAACGGAAACGGAACATTACTATCGCATAAGCTCTTCTGGTCTCTGACCAGTAGAGCTAAAAACTGACTTGGTATAAATATAAATATTGGAACTGCTCTCAACAAGTTTCAGCAATGAGTCATCATTCATAAGAGCAAACCCTAGCGGTAGTTTGACAGGCCTAGTAGTTAATCAAGACAATTCATTTTTCAAACAAGAGATGTTTGTAAAACACTTATGCTCTCCACCCCCACAAATTGGAATTTTTCTAAGTCCAAAAGGGCATAACTCTGTCAAAAATGGTGAGATTGTGCCCAAAACAGAACTTGAACTAGATATTCATCTGACAAATCTGTATACTAAATTTCATTTCAATATGTGCAACCTCTCCGAAGAAAATGAATGGAAACTGCAAATAATTGGAATTTTTCCAAGTCCAAGGGGTATAACTCTATCAAAAATGGCACGATCGTACCCAAAACAGAACTTGACCTAGATATTCATATGATTAATCTGTATACTAAATTTCATTTCAATATGTGCAACCTCTGCGAAGAAAATGAACGGAAACTGCAAATAAATAGAATTTTTCTAAGTCCAAGGGGCACAACTCTGTCAAAAATGGTATGATCGTACCCAAAACAAAACTTGACCTAGATATTTTACCTGATATGCTTGTATACCAAATTTCATTTCAGTCCGTGCAATGGTTGTGAAGAAAATGAATGGAAACTAAATGGACCGACCGACAGACAGCAGCAAAGCAATATGCCCTCCCTTCTTCGAAGGGGGGCATAAAAATACTCAGATGTACAAGCATGGACTGTATGTTTAGTGTTTACTAATTATAGCGATTTTCATATTTCAGCGGCTTTGGCTTTGACTATGCCACAAATACTTTACACAACTCTGGCTCATGCACCATGTGTCAAATGAAATGCATACCGTGACATCACATAAACAAGAGACTCTTAGGCCACAGCACTCACCCGAATAACTTTGGCCCTACTGTTCTTCACCAGATTTTCCCACTTGTTATACCTATTGTAGCCCCACCCTAAAATCAGGGGTCAAGATTTGAACAGTATACATTCTACACTATGACAGGATGCTTCCACATAAGTTTCAGCTTTTCTGGCCCAGTGGTTCTTTAGAAGAAATTCTAATGTAAAACTTGGATTCCCTATTGTGGGCCCTACACGGGGGGGGGGGGGGGGGGGGGGTCATGATTTGAACAAGTTAGAATCTATCCCAGGATGCTTCCACTTGATTTCAGCTTTCCTGATCCAGTGCTTCATGAGGAGAAGGTTTTTAAAGATTTTTCTTATATATTTCAATATTTCAGTTGTATCATGATATATAAACTCTGTTCTTGAGAAGAAGATTTTTAAAGATTTTTCCTATGTTTTCCTATGTTAAATTTTGATCCCCCATTTTGGCCCCTCCTACCCCTGGGGGTCATGAACAAACTTGAATCTACACTACCTGAGGATGCTTCCACACGAGTTTTATCTTTCCTGGTCCAATGGTTCTTGAGAAGATTTTTAAAAGATGACATTAATTTTTCACTAATTCATCATATATCCCCTTGGAAAAGGGCATGGCCCTTAATTTGAACAAACTTGAATCCCCTTTACCCTAGGATACTTTATGGCAAGTTGGTTGAAACTGGCCCAATGGTTCTTGAGAAGAAGATGAAAATGTGAAAAGTTTACAACAACAACGACGTTGCCGACGACAGATTTTGATCAGAAAAGCTCGCTAAATGAGCTTTTACAGTGAATTTTTACACAACAATCCCCATGGCCTAAGGAAGACCCCTATTTATTTTGAGGTCAAAAGGTCAAAGTCATAAATTCAAAATTTCTATCCATGTTTACATGTTCATTTCCATGACATATCTCAAGAAGCCTAGCTTTGAGCTTTTGCAATGAAATTTAATATACCACAACTTCCTATGGCCTAAGTAAGACACCTATTGATTTTGAGGTCAAGTGAAGTCAAGGTCGTTCATTCATATATTCTGTCTGTGCATAAACATTTATTTTCCAGATGAAATCTTAAGAAGCTATTGAAAGAGCAAGAGCCACTTTGGGCCTTCTTTGGCCCTGAGAATTTCTGAAAAATCAAAACCGCTCAGTTTAGGTTGCAAATGCAGTATTTATCACTTGGAATGTTGGTGACCACGTATCTATTAATCATGACGTAATTTCCCTCTAGTCAATGCATTATGACATAATGCATTATGTAAAATGAGTCATTTTCCTCATATCCTGTAAATTCCTTTGAAAATGACCTACAGTTGAATATTTTTTCAATATTCATATAGAGTACAACCTCTGATTCAAAATATGCAAATACATAAGGAAAGTTCTGTTTCTAAAGATCAAAAAACATGTTTTATTTTTTGGATTGTAGGCTGTGCTCATATTTTAATTCTTTGCTGAAGGTAATCAGATACACATATTTTCTGCATATTTCAAGAATATTGCAATTTCTCAAAGCCTGTTTTCCAATAGCTGAATTCTTGAAAAGAAATTTTTTTATAGGAAGCACCTAGTGTCTACTTTATTTTGATATATGAAATGGGCAAGATGGTGATAGTTAATGAATTGATATAAGTACAGGGCCATTTTCTGCATAAAGTGAACTTAGCTCCTTTGCAGTCAATACTTAAACCATTACTCCCTATGGCCCCGACTTCCCTTAAATTCATTTGCTTCAGTACACACATTAATAATTCTGCAATCCGGGGAAAGAGAAGGGGGAGGAGGGGTTTGACCCTCCTCTCCCCCCCCCCATCAGAGCATCCTCCTTTTCCCCATAAGGTGGGGTCACAAATTCTCTAACTAGCATGTTTTGACTGTGTAGTTTTCATAAATATGACCAATCTCTTCCCAGATTTATCCACTTACACCTCTGTCATCGTCTAAATAGTAGTTTGGTAGCGTAGGGACATTACTTTTTTTCAAATGTTGTTTAAAATGGCCTGCAAGAAGATTAACACCTTTAGATTTTTTTATATGTGTCAATGCTGTAAGTTGTTTGTCTATAAAAACTAAACCATGTTGACATTTATCGGCAAAGCATTTTAAATTTCCACGTACGTAATGTCCTGTCAAGAGAAATAATCCCTTGTAAAATATGGAGAAAAAGAGATATCTGACTTTAATTCTCATTAATAAACCTTTATTTAAGATGTTCACCAAGAATATAGAAGTTTTACATGTATAATTTATGAAGCAAAAGGTAAAAGTAAGTTTTGCCAAGAATCTTGGCATTTAGACGTTAACAGAGGTATTGTAGCGAAGCGAACAATAACTTTGGGTAGAGATTGAAATATGACTTGTGTTAAAAAAGTATGTCTACTGTACATAACCTTGTTTGAAGTGCCATTTAAGAATTAAATTTTTTTCCCTTTAATTATGCCTGTAAGTGAATTTCCTGTGACAAGGTTTATACTGAGAGAATCACTTTTTTTCCTTTAAGAAAAATGGATATTACTCACTCAGGACTGTATATATATCCATCAACTTTGTTCAGATCTTTTCCAAACCATCCACCCTGTTTATAATTCAGCACAGCTTTATGCTTTGTATTATGGTTCTGTATTTCTTGAACTCCATACTGAAAAATAGATGTGTGTGAATATATCAGATATATATAATTTATATATACTATTATGCTCATCTCACAGTGACTCACTATCCATCAGACACAAATAAAAAAAATAATAAACTGAACATATTTAGTGAAAATACAAGTTATAACAACTACAGCAGTATACACTCTTTTAACATTGCAAACCAGGTGCAAGTTGCCATAAAGCAGGGCTTTCACTGTCAATCTCAGGCACTCAAATGTGACTTAACGTAGTCGCGGGTTTGCTGACGTCATTAAAATTGGGTACGCAATTTATTTGATTTCGACGACTTTCTTGTGCACATCTAATTATGACGTCACACTGCGACATGGAAAAATTGTTGAAATTGGTAGTTTAGTCAACTTTAGTGTAACTATTAAAGTATTTATAGAACATGCTGAAGTTATCAAAAATAATGAAGGCTTATTTCGATTCGAATGACCAACACTGAAAGTATTGGTCTATTCTGAGAGCACATGCATTTGATTCGGAAATAAATTTTAATCCTTAATATAGATCTAATTATAACACAGGGTATCTAACTCCGAATTACACTCAGTACCCCCTCCTCGGAAACGCATTCATTTACACTTTCAGAGGAAATGCACTTACAAACTGTTTATTACTATTGTCTTCTACAATGACTTATTACACAACCATACATGGCATGCATGTGTTTGTTTTCTTTTATCTATGTAAACTGCAGCGTCAAAACTCTTCTCGCCGATGGAAAGTCGAATTCATTTATGAAACGGTATGTGCTAATCTCGGACAAAGAACAAAATTAAAAAAACAAGAGGCCCAAGGGCCTTGAATCGCTCTTCTGATAAATTGTACAACCTATCACTTCTATTTGAAGCCTCTAACCCTAAGTATTCTAAGAGCCAAGTTGCATCAACTGAAAAAGTTTGATGATTCTTAGCCAATTATAACTGAAAATATTTTAATAAAGCTATAAAAAAAAAAACATAAGTAGGTCACAATGACCTACTTTAAGATTGAAGTTTTCTGAGGACTCAAGATGCATTAATAGACAAAGATTGAAGATTCTAAGCCAATAAGTATGTGAGATAATCAAAAGTAAGTCACTTTGACCTACTTTTTCATCTACATTCTTGGTAAAACCAAAATGCATCAACTGACAAAGTTTGATTATTCCAAGCCAATAAGTACTGGAGATACTTAATTATAGCCATAAAATGTTAAAAGTAGGTCATTGTGACCTAATTTTTAGTAGGCGAATTTCGAAAGCCCAAAATACATCAGCTGACAAAGTTTGATGATTCTCAGCCAATATGTATCCGAGATATTCAAAAGTAGGTCACCATGACCTACTTTTTGGTCATAACTCTCCGAAAACCCAAGATGCATCAACCCACAAAGTTTGATGATTCTAAGCTGATAAATACCTGAGATGCTTAAATAAAGCTATAAAATGTCAAAAGTAGGTCACCATGACCTAAAACCCAAGATGCATCAACTCACAAAGTTTGATGATTCTAAGCTTATAAATACCTAAGATACTTAAATAAAGCTATAAAATGTCAAAAGTAGGTCACCGTGACCTACTTTTTGGTCGTCACTCTCCGAAAACCCAAGATGCATCAACTCACAAAGTTTGATGATTCTTAGCCAATAACTATCGAAGATACTTAAATAAAGCCATAAAATGTCAAAAGTAGGTCACCGTGACCTACATTTCAGTCAACATTTTTCAAAGTCCCAAGATGCATCTGCTGACCAAATTTGATGATCGTAGGTCTGAAGGTAATCAAAATATGCCTTTTAAACAATATGAAAACATATGCCTGCAAAATTCAAAAAGTAGGTCACAGTGACCTTCTTTTTCATAAATATGTTTTAAGGTCCCAAGATGCAGCAATTTACAAGATTTGATGATTCTAACCCTCTCAGTGTCTGCAATAATGGGATTAAATGTTTTAAAAAGGATGTCATAAAGTTCAAAAAGTAGGTCAAGGTGACCTACTTTTAAGTTGACGTTGTTCAAGGACCCAAGATGCATCAACTAACAAAGTTTGATGATCATAGGCCTTAAAGTGTCCAAAATATGCCTTCAAATCAATTTGAAAACAAATGCCCGCAAAATTAAATAAGTAGGTCACTGTGACCTACTTTTGATTTAACATGATGTGAAGTCTTAAGATGCATCAACTTACAAGATTTGATGATCCTAGTCCTTATAGTAAGCAAAATATAAACGTTTTCATCAATTGTAAATTTAGGTCAACTTTGAAGTGACCTTGAGACCACGCCCTTTGCCCCAGGGTCATGCCTTGAACAATTTTTAATCTTCAACATATTGTGATCCTTGTGTGTAAGTTTGGTGAAAATCTGCCTGGTGGTTCTGGAGAGAAGATTTTTTAGCAACCAGTACTTTTGGTTTTGTTTTCCTGATTATCTCCCCTTGTTTAAGGGTCCCAACCCTTATTTTAGTATAAATGGTAGCCCTTGGGCCAAGGATACCCTGTGACAAATTTGACACTGATTGGCCAAGGCGTTCTTGAGTTATGGCCCATTTTCTAAAAAGTTAATGCACACCGCACGACGCACACCACACAAATGGCCATAACATTAGCTCTTTGAGCCTTTGGCTCAGAAGAGCTAATTAGTGAGTTAAAAAATTCAATTCCATATTTTAAAAATTGCATTGAATAAATAAAATATGCTAAAGTCTTATTTTCCATAAAACGCTGAAGCTTTTTCCCATGTTACTTTAGATACAGATTTTTAGCCAATCAAATTCGGGATCAAATTATTTGCCCTATTTAAATTAAAAGTTCATAATAATCGATAAGAAGTCATTATATTTAACATTGCAAATGCACTGATTACATAAAAAGTTCTATCTTTATTTTTAAAAAGAACATTTGAAAAATATATATACATGTACTGGTTGATCTATAAAACATAGTTTTGTCGAGAAAATGTTTAAAATGTCTACTCGGTAGACCTCATTTTTACCCTACAAAACCTCTAGAATCCATGAGCTTCCGGGGGCTTCGCCCCCTGGGCCCCCACCAGGGCTTTGCCCTGGACCCACTGGGGGCCCCTGCCTGAATCTGGCGCCCCCTAACTTCAATTCCTGGATCTGCCCCTGGCGGCATTGACCTTTTGTAAATAACCACAGGCACGTAGGATATGACCCCCTCCCTCCATTCCATTTATTTCTAGTTAAAGCCGGGGATTGGTAAACTTTTTCCAATATTTGTATTTTTACTGAACTCTACCCTATATGCGGTTGATTTAATCGAAATATTTACTAATCGAAGGCTCATAAAGAATTAAATGGAAATCTGAAAAGGAAGGTGTTGCAAATTTATTGATATCTGCATATCCCATAATTTCCTATGCTTTAGATAGTGATCAAGTGAAGATTAAGTTAGGGGGCATTAGACATTTGAACACATTGATTGAAAAGATCGAAGTTTTTACACAGAACTTGTATCTGTATTATATTTTTTGAAATAAATATCTTCATCCATAAATAATCTTATTTGGCATATTAAATAGTTATTAATTTTTAATTTTTACATTTACAAATATTATCCTTCCGATTTTTTGCAAGTGAAAGAACACTTCAGTTTCTCTTGTACACAGATGAGCGCTTTCTCCATTGTGACGTCATAACGACACAATTGACGTTAAAACATTAATCGTTGATTGAAATAACTTTTGCGTCGCTTCATGATATATGCTGGAGTGAAACATTTATGTTCATGTCCTTGTGATTTTTCAAAATTAAATTCATTTTTCAATTATATTCCAATTACTTTGATGAATTCAAATGTTGGCTTTTTCATATACGTCTACATTATCCCTCTACGGAAGTGTGTTGTGTTTCAATATGACGTATAAAACATTTACAACAAGCGTTTAACGTTACGCTATATATGCGACGATGATTTAATGTTTTCATGGCCGATGTCAATGCTGAACATGTTAAAGATCTTATAGGATAAAACAAAATCCTCTGCAACATTTTTTTTAAAAATATGCCTGCTAGGCATAAGTGGTCTTCATCGTAATACATGTACGTATATCAAAATCGCTTTCGTGCATCAATACTAAGTATTTATACATGCATCTAATAAATTGCACCATCTGAATCTCTTATTGGAAATTATCTATACAAAGATGTATATCCTATTGTAAAAACAATCTTAAATAAAATTTTAATTTTAAAATGAGGACTTAATCTCAAGATATAAATCAAATTTATATTTTATGAAATAGATTTCAATGTTCAGAGATGCACAATAACTAGACGTGTCAAATTGTAAAACACATTCACGTAGATAAAAATATGGCCAACGCTTACCAACACTCTAAGTTTATCGTAAAAACCTTTAATATCTAATTTTTTTCTCTACTTTAGAAAAACAAATCCCTTTTGTCATGCGCGAACATATCATGCTCCTTATTCCGGAAATAGTTACAGCAAACATTCTTTTTTTATTCACCAAATGACGTGATCACGTGACGCCTTGCAATAGCGTCCTTAATTGCTCCAAATTAATTTTGTGGATCGATGAAGTAAATCAATTAAATTAAAACAAAGAGTTGATTTTAAAAGCAGAGTTCTTGAAATCTTTTTTCCGCTTTCAGTCATTTGGACTGACTGCCATGTGAATAGGGCTGGGCAATAATATCGATATTTCAATATATTGCAATACAAAGACAAAAAATATCGTATCGCAATACGATTTTGTAATATCGATATATTGGCAATATACTTAGATTAAGGAATTTTGTCATTAAAATGATTAAATATTAAAAAAAGGACTTATGAAAGTTTGTTATTAAGACAAACAGTAAGACAGAAGTTAATTGTTTTGTGGGAACATTTAAGAGCATAACTTAAATGAAATCAACAAGATTTTTTTTTCTTCGTGTTAGTTACTTATCATAGTTATGTAAATTCTGCATGTAAATTAAAGTCAATGCAGTAAGAAAATGCCATTTTCATTACATTGAAAATATTGCAATACATATCGCAATCAGTTAAAAATATCGCAATATATCGCAATACGAAATCTCTGGCCAATACCCAGCCCTACATGTGAAGTTTGTCAGTCCAGAGAGATCTCTATCAGTCCAAAAAAAATCAATAAAATTAAAAATATGAAAACTGTATATAAATTTTATTTTTAATACATTTTGCATCCTGCATTGGTGCACATTTCATGCCAATATGATAGTTGTATAACAATTTTCGTTGAATTCTCGTGGGGGTTGATTTTCTTCATGTTTTTAATGTAGTTCGGTTTTCTCACCTGGCTTACCTTAGCGCATCAACAGATTATCAATCATAGTTTGGCACTTGCCTTCATTGAAAAAGCCATTACGAGATACAGAAAAGTGTTTCACAGATTACGATCGAACAGTTATTCAAACGGTAATTCGTATGAAATTTAGTAAGACTTTCGCAAGTTAAATTGCTCTGTCAACATCTACCGGTCATTTGGATGGACACAGAACCTAAAGTAATCGGTCCTGTGTTGTTTTTATCGTTCTTGCCGACAGGACTGAAAGATTTCAAGAACTCTGTAAAAGAAGGCATTAAATATTTCTTGTCAATTATTCAAAATTTTTTCATGAGTTTTAAAAGACCATTGCTATAAAGAAAGGACATTTTTTGGTTCATTATACTGTTTTTGATGCATGGCCAATACTGTCCAATCAATGGTGAATTTATTCAAATCGTTTTCATTTTATAGATGAAGTACAGTACAGGCAACGCGGATCCCGTATTTCCCACGCCCCGTCGCGGTATAATCACAATGGTGAGACAGGTAAACCGCGTTCCCTCCGCGGGAAATTCATCACCTACCTGTCCCCGCCGCGGTTAAATCAACGATGAATTACTGACAATTAGTATCGTAAACAAACGGGAGTTATCTCCCCGAATTCTAATTTGCAACTTTTCCCTGTAACAAAAAAAAAAGAAGGACACTGTGTGTTTATTTATAAAAGTATTTTCATTTATTTTGCTATGAATAGAATTTGAACTAAGAAAAAAATAGGTTTATTTTTGTTTCTAAAATTACATATCAATCTTTTAAATTGAATAGAAAATTTTATTAAATGGTTACATCATTGTAATTGGTTAATTAT